ATATACATAATATAAAAAATCTATATATATATATATATATATATATATATAAGGATTATATATATAAGAATGAGTCAGAATGATAAATTAAATTTTATCTGCTCTATAAACAGTTCTAATGTGCATTCTAAAAATCTCTACACTTCTGATAACAAGGTAGCGACCGGTTAAGATTTACAACAAAAATTTGGTCAGAATTTCACATTGGTCTGAACAAAAATGTGGCAGTCAGACTGAATGAATTTGTAAATCCACAGTTTGACAGCAGGTGGTGCTTATGAACAGCAAAAATAGAGCTGTTTATTAAATCTAATTGGACCAGTAAAAAAGAAAAGAAAAGAAAAGAAAAGAAGTGGCTACGGAGCTAGAAACAACTTAAACAATTACATTTTAGTGGCGAAAAGTGCTGGACTGGTCAAATCATATTATAATAGGCCTACCTATGGACTAGTGGCATCAAAATGCTCACATTACATTGGTTTGCTAATTATGCTTAACAATGGGTCCAGTGTTTCCCACAGGGTTTTGTGAGAATATGATGGGAAGACCTCGATCCCTCTTGGTAGGTCCAAGAAAATTTTGTACATTTTAAAGTTAAATGCATGAATCTGGTGCACTTTGAGAGTTCGAAATTAAGAGCTCCAACCCAGGTTAAGTGTCCACATGGAACAGTAAAAAGTCTTTGCATTGACTTGTACCTGGACTTTAAGTCCATTTTTGTGTCCTGTTCACTGAAATCAGCGGTCCTGTTTTGAGATATCTTAGGGTTTAATACTGGGATTGGTTTCCATAATTTCCCTTTGGATGACGAAACAAGAAAAAAGGGCATTCACAATAACTTGCTTGAGGATTTTAACATTAACTAATTAATTAGTCATATTCCCAAACTCACTCTTGCCTCCACCGTCACTCAAAGCACTGCACTAATATGCACACAGATAAAATATAGACCTCAAGTACAATCAATCTACAAAAATCAGCTTCAGTCACATTTTAAAAATGCACATTTATTTTATTAATGAACTCCTCTCTGTCTTTAGACTCTGGTGGAACTGGGCAGGTTATTACCACAGACTCACATTGCCACTCTTCTGATCAGTCTGGTGGCTCTCACAGCTCTGATCATTGTGAAAGAGATCAACTCCTGCTACAGTCACAGATTACTCCTCCCTGTTCCCATAGAGCTCATGGTGGTGAGTAGCTACACATGTACCATGTTTCTTCAGATGTCAAACCAGAAAACTCCAACCTAGTAAGTACACAAAGAGACAGATGCAACAGCTTTGTGTGTCTATTTACAGATTATTGCAGGGACACTTGTTTCTCATTATGCTGATCTGAGAGCTGTTAATGGTGTCGACGTGGTGGGAGAAATTCCCAGTGGGTAAGTGTGTGTTTCACATTACACTTAGTTACAGGTGCATCTCAATAAATTAGAATGTCGTGGAAAAGTTCATTTATTTCAGTAATTCAACTCAAATTGTGAAACTCGTGTATTAAATAAATTCAATGCACACAGACTGAAGTAGTTTAAGTCTTTGGTTCTTCTGGACTTCAAGCAACTTGGGCTATGAGCTTCTCCACCCTTCCTCCAGACTCTAGGTCCTTGGTTTCCAAATGAAATACAAAACTTGCTCTCATCTGAAAAGAGGACTTTGGACCACTGGGCAACAGTCCAGTTCTTCTTCTCCTTAGCCCAGGTAAGACGCCTCTGATGTTGTCTGTGGTTCAGGAGTGGCTTAACAAGAGGAATACGACAACTGTAGCCAAATTCCTTGACACGTCTGTGTGTGGTGGCTCTTGATGCCTTGACCCCAGCCTCAGTTCATTCCTTGTGAAGTTCACTCAAATTCTTGAGTCGATTTTGCTTGACAATCCTCATAAGGCTGCGGTTCTCTCGGTTGGTTGTGTATCTTTTTCTTCCACACTTTTTCCTTCTACTCAACTTTCTGTTAACATGCTTGGATACAGCACTCTGTGAACAGCCAGCTTCTTTGGCAATGAATGTTTGTGGCTTACCCTCCTTGTGAAGGGTGTCAATGATTGTCTTTTGGACAACTGTCAGATCAGCAGTCTTCATCATGATTGTGTAGCCTAGTGAACCAAACTGAGATACCATTTTGAAGGCTCAGGAAACCTTTGCGGGTGTTTTGAGTTGATTAGCTGATTGGCATGTGCATTTTCTAATTTGTTGAGATAGTGAATTGATTGGTTTTTGTTAAATGTGAGCCAAAATCATCACAATTAAAAGAACCAAAGACTTAAACTACTTCAGTCTGTGTGCATTGAATTTATTTAATACACGAGTTTCACAATTTGAGTTGAATTACTGAAATAAATGAACTTTTCCATGACATTCTAATTTATTGAGATGCACCTGTACATTGAGTGGATACTAGAGGAACACAGTGAGCTTTCACTAGCAACAGCAGGCTTAAAATCATTTTAGTCTGACATTGTTTGCATGTGCAGCGAAGTCAAACTGTTTATTTTTAAACACTGACCACATGCAGGAGGTTAGAAAGTTCTTGGTGGCTCAGTTCTTGGTCTTAATCTTGGTTGACTTTACAGATCTTCTTTATGCACCAAGAGCTTGTAACACTCTAAAGAGAAAGGAAAAAATGAAATCGCATCATATGACCCCTTTAATCCATCAAAACACGTCTACAGTAAAGCCCTAAACCCAGGCCTCATGAAATTCTGTCTCTTTCTGTACACTCTCACGTGAGACATTAGGAGGACTTTTGACTTCTTTAAGCATATAAAACACACATACAAAGGTCAGTGGAGAGCAGTGTTATTTTAGTATCATTGATATACCATTAAAGTTTTTGTAAAAGGCATAGTTCACCTAAAAATGAAAAATTTACTCATTTAAGTAAATTTAATCATTTACTTAGCCTAATTTTTTTCCAAACCTGTATAAGGTTAATTTTTCAGCTGAACACAAAAGAACATATTTTGAAGAATGTGGGTAACCAAAGAGTTGCTGGTCCCCACTGACTTCCACAGTATGGAAAAATTCAATGGGGACCAGAAATGTGTCTCCATTTTGAATTAGATTTTATTTTAATAATATATTCTATTTTCACTTTTGTTAAAGTTTTTGTCATCTTTATTAGTTTATTTTAAAAAAAAAAACATGTATATAGTTTTTATTCATTCAAATTTATTAGTTTTAGTTTATTTAGTTTTAGTCATTTTGGAATTATTTCATTGGCAACTAGCTGAAATAAAATACACTTTTAAATATAGAGGTTCCTTATTGGCATCTGTGGTTCCATGAAGAGCCTTTAACATCCATGGAAACTTTCCATTGCACAATACATTCTTTATAATGGAAAAATGTTCTTAGGTTGTTAAAATGTTCTTCACACCAAGAAAAAGAAAAGCTTATTTGTGACCCTGGACCACAAAAGCAGTCATAAGGGTAAATTTCTCGAAATTGAGATTTATACATCATCTGAAAGCTGAATAAATAAGTTTTCCATTGATGTATGGTTTGTTAGGATAGGACAATATTTGGCCGAGATACAACTATTTGAAAATCTGGAATCTGAGGGTGCAAAAAAATCTAAATACTGAGAAAATCGCCTTTAAAATTGTCCAAATGAAGTTCTTAGCAATGCATATTACTAATCAAAAATTAAGTTTTGATATATTTACGGTAAGAGATTTACAAAATATCTTCATGGAACATGATCTTTACTTAATATCCTAATGATTTTTGGCATAAAAGAAAAAATCGATAATTTTGACCCATACCATGTTTTTTTGGCTATTGCTTACAAATATACCCGTGTGACTTAATACTGGTTTTGTGCTCCAGGGTCACATATTAAGAACTGTTCGCAAGAAGGTTCTTTGGGAAACCAGAAATGGTTCTTCTATGACATCACTACAAAAACACACTTTTAGAACCTTTATTTTTAAGATTTTAAGTTTTTTTTTTTATTTCAGTTTATATTTTATTTTATTTCAAGTAACCATTTTTTATTCCAGTTTTAATTTCAGTTAACTATAATAGCCCTAGAGCCATGTTAGTAATCTATAACCTCTGACCTTCCTCAGACTGGTGCCACCCAGAGTTCCAGAGGTAGGTTTCTTCTCCTCGGTGGTTGGAGACGCGTTTGCTGTGGCTGTGGTGGGATACGCCATCAGCATTTCTCTAGGCAAGACTTTTGCTCTCAAACATGGATATAAAGTCGACAGCAATCAGGTACAGCATCTGTCACGCAAACAAACCTATGTCACACATATAGTGCGCACTTGATCACAGCCAGCTTCTTTGGCAATGAATGTTTGTGGCTTACCCTCCTTGTGAAGGGTGTCAATGATTGTCTTCTGGACAACTGTCAGATCAGCAGTCTTCCCCATGATTGTGTAGCCTAGTGAACCAAACTGAGAGACCATTTTGAAGGCTCAGGAAACCTTTGTAGGTATTTTGAGTTGATTAGCTGATTGGCATGTCACCATATTCTAATTTGTTGAGATGCACCTGTATTATGTTCTGAAAAATATATGTGCAGTGTACAGTGGTGAGTGTCTCTCATTGTCCCTCTGCAGGAGTTGGTGGCGTTGGGGCTCAGTAACACCATTGGTGGCTTTTTCCAGTGCTACTCCGTCACTTCCTCCATGTCTCGCAGTCTTGTGCAGGAGAGCACTGGGGGAAAGACACAGGTGATTTTCCACTAAGCACAAATATACACTGGAGTTCAAAAGTTTGGGCTCAGTAAGATTTATTTATTTATTAAATAAACTAATACAAAGACATTTGTAATGTTTCAAAACATTTCTGTTACAAATAAATGCTGTTCTTTTGAACTTACTATTCATCATAGAATCCTGAAAAATAAAGTTATGAAGCACAAACATATGAAGCAGCACAACTGTTTTCAACATTGATAATACTTAATAATAAATGTTCTTTGAACAGCAAATCAGCATATCAGAATAATTTCTGAAGGATCATGTGACACTGAAGACTGGAGTAATGATGCTGAAAATTCACATAGAAAACAGTAATTTTCAATTTTAATAAAATTTCAAATTTTTACTGTATTTTGGATCAAATAAATGCAGATTTGGCGAGCAGAAGAGTCTTCTTTCAAAAACATTAAAAAGTCATACAGACCCCGAATCTTTGTGCATACAATACAGTATACCTGTAAAACACAGTTATGCACAACTACAAATATGCTTTTTGTGTGTCACACAGGTGGCTGGCATGATATCTGCTGTTATTGTGTTCATTACAGTTTTGAAGCTTGGTCCACTTTTTGAGCAACTGCCCACAGTAAGTTATGCACTCAAATGAACATTGGTCAAAGTGTACAGCTACAATTAAAATAGAAAGAGGCATTTGTGATACAGAGTTCAACTATGAAATTAAAATAATTGCAATGAATAAAACAGGACCTCTCTCCACATATTTACATTCATTTGTGGCTCTTGTGTCCAATGTTGTTATTGTTAACTAAAACCAAATCTATTAAAAATAATTTTCAGTAACTGAAATAGAGTTGAAATTGTCATGCTACTGCTGTTAGGGAGACGAAGGCATGACGAAGATTATAACAAATCCTTTTAATGGTAATCCACACGAAGAAGAGGGTCTACCACACAGGGTAACATCAACAATACCGGACAAAGGAAGACAGGACAGACTACACTTTAAATAAGGGAGCAAATGACACACACCTGAACTAAATGACAGTCAAACATGAGGGAAACTAGGTCCCACAGAGCACATGAGGGATGAAAACAGAACAAAAGTCCAATGGGGTGTGACAGAAATAACATCAAATAAAATAAAAAATAACTTACACTTAAAAAATGTTGCCCTGGCAATTGCCTGAAATAAAGATGTTTAAGTACTGAAATTACTAAAATCAAATTAAAAATACATTTAAATTGCATAAACACTGCTCTTATAATTCATTTGTTCATTGTTAATTGGTTGCATCCACATCGTCAATGACTTGCCAATGACATTTATTTTTTTTAAAGTGAAAAAAAAAAAAACTGAAAACAGCCAAGCTGCAGGTACTTTGTCAAACTGCATAAACGTTTGTATGTATCTGAATATTTTGCTGTAAATTTCAAATATAATGTAGTTTATAATTAGAATTGGACGACCATGCATCCTATTTTTTCCTGAACATGTCCTGGCCAGGATTTGTAAATTGCCTAAAATGCCCTGGGTTTGGTTTTGTTTTCCTGTTGTTTTCATACTTGATGAAGGTGATGACTTTGACCAATAGTGTGCAGGTATTATACATAATCGACCAATTGTGGTGTGCGAGAAGGTGGATTCTACAGTGAAGGGTCAAAGCAATGCATTGCAAATACACTGTAGAAAGCAAGTCAGTATGAAAACATATGTATGCATATTAGTGCTGTCAAATGATTAATCGCGATTAATCGCATCCAAAATAAAAGTTTTTGTTTACATAATATATGTGTGTGTACTGTGTATATTTATTATGTATATATAAATACACACACATGCATGTATATATTTCAGAAAAATATATTAATGTTTATATATTAAATATATTTATATAT